TACCCACTGAGCTACAAGCACCCTACCCACTGAGCCCCAAGCACCCTACCCACTGAGCCCCAACACCCTACCCACTGAGCCCCAACACCCTATCCTACTGAGCTACAAGCCAGCCCTGTGTCCTCATTTCTTTTAGACGGGGTCATCCTTTGTGACCCTGACTGACCTCAGCTCCCCTGCCCCAGCCTCCTGAGTGCAGGGTGACAGTTCAGATCCAACCCTGACACCTGACACTCAATTCTGAGGTTCTCAGCTCGACTCTGAACGCCTCTGGTGACTGCCAGGTCCCCCCTGGCTTCACCATGCAGTCCGAGCAGCCTTGCCGGGCCACGGCAACAGGACCGGGGTCCACACACAGCCGAGATCAAATTGCTTTAATTGGGGGCAGCTCCAGGGTCCGGCCTGGGTCCTGGGGCAGCAGTGCCAGCCGGGCCCGCTGCGGTCTGCCTGTGCCTGCCACCTGGTTTCCCTCTCTTGGTAGACGTGGTGGTCGTCTTCCCTGACTGATGGGACCGCAGGCCAGGGGCCACCGTGTCGGCGACAGGGACCCCCACGTGGGGCAGCAGCTCATCGTCCAGGGCCTTGAAGCTGAAAACGTAGTCCACGCTGGCCACGGCATCCAGGACCTCAGGGACGCCGTAATCGAAGGACAGGAGCTCGTCCGGCAGGTGCAGGGAGCGGATGTCCGCCGTGCGGTCGTCCCCACCGCCGCCACTGTCCCGCGGGCCAGGCCCGGGCCCCCTGTGCAGGGCCACCTCCGGTTCAGGGCCACCAGGGAGACAATCGAAAAGTTTCATGGCATCTTCTAGGAGGACCTTGTCCGGTAGGAAGAAAGCATGGGCCACCTCGGGAGGCATGGTCTCACCTGAGCCCATCGGAGTGACGACGTCCACCTCAGCCGCCTTGGGCTCCGCAGGGCCAGGAGGGAAGCGCAGCCCCGGCCTGGCCACAGCATTGCCCTGCAGCTCCCTGGGGGCCTCGATGGGCCTCATGGTCACCTGGGGCCCCGGGAACTGGCTGGCGTGGCCACTGAGATGGCCGTAGGGCCCCGGTGGCAGCGTGTGTGCCGTGGGGACTGTGATGAGCAAGGGAGATGGCTTAGTCTCTTTAGGGGCCGGTGGGGGAACCAGGCCATCTCTGAGCATCTCCATGAAGTTGAGGGGCCCTCCGTCCCCCACGAAGCCCAGCGCCTCGGGCCCCGGCTCCTCGGGGGGAAGATAGTGTGTGAGGTACTGTGGCCCACCGGGGGCCGGCTGGTAGTGGGGGTAGAGCGCAGGCGGAGGCCCCGGGACCTTGAGGTAGGATGGGGCCTCCAGCAGGTAGCCACCGGACAAGGGGGGGCCGCCGGCCACCGCCACCTTGTACAGGGACGACTGGCCAAAGTCAGAGGTGGCCCACTCGATTCGGTAGATGCGAGGGTCGAAGAAGCAGCCGCAGGGAGCCATCTGGAAGCCTGCAGGTGGCGGACACCCTGAGAGGGGTGTCCGTGGGGGAACCAGGACAGGGGATGGGGGGGACTGAGACCCGGGTGCATAGGGCACGGCCCTCACCTCGAAGGTGCCTGTGTACTGGCTTTTGTTAGCAGTCATCTGGGGACTCCTGGAGGGCAAGACACCTGGAGACTGCTGGGGACACCCCTATTCTCAGGGGAGCAGTGACCCGAGTGGCTGGGCCTCGTGGAAAGACTTCCCTAGTGGCAGCTCTTGTCACCTAAGCAAGCCATGACCTGGTCTCTAGGGTCACTCAGAACTGTGGCACATGAGTTAGTAGGGGGGTCTGTCTGGGGTACAGAGGTGACGTGGGTCTCATCTTGGGTCAGGACGGAGCCTGCTCTCGGCTCGCTCGGGTGCTGCCCAGTACCTGCTGGAGGCGCTGAAAGTGCATCCTGGTCTGAGGCGGGAGTCTGATAGAGCAGGTTGGTGCTGGCTGTGGACAAAGGCGTCCGGTGGGTGGGGCAGGCGCCCGGGCCCCACGGCCATCACACACCCCTGCCGCCACCACCACCATACCTACGGTGGAAAGGGGTTCTGGGCCACCTGGCACCTCGGTGCCCTCCAGGCCCCGTGGGCCGAAGCCTTCCTGGGGTATGGCTGGGGGATAGAGAGTTTTGGGGTGCTGCATGGGGGAGAAAGGCCACCCCGGGGGGGCCCGGGTGGCAGCAGAGGCGCCTCGGGGATAGAGTCCCACTGGGTTCTGTTTGCCCTGTTGCTAGGTGGAGGGTTCCAGTTCAGGGGGGGCCACCACTCGGGTTCCGGGTGGGGGTGGGCGGAGGTGACTCCCTCCACTCCCTGGGCCAGGTCCCCCCGATTCACAGCCCCGAGGGTACTGGCCAGCCTAACAGGACAGCCAGGAGTCAGAAGACGGCAAACGGGACCAGGCCAAGGCCAAGGCCACGTCCTAGAAGACGAGGGGAAGATGCCGCCTATGACACCTGAACAAAGCTAAGCATGACAGCAAGAGCGTGGCCAGGCTTCCAGGAGTTCAAGGCCACCCCAGGAAACACAAGGCCTCGTCTCTAAAAACCGACAAAGAAAAAGAAGTTGTAGAAGAATAAAATTTATTGTCTCCGCTGGCTACTTGTAGGCGTTGGCTTTATGCTTGGGCAGGAAGGCGAAGCCAGGCGGGACTGGTCCGAGCAGCATCTCACTGTGAGGACAGGGTGACGACGGGTCAGGCCCGGGCCTCCCAGCATTACCCCACAGAACCCTGGCCAGTGGGTACCTGATGCGAATCCAGTCTGCGGCCTGCTGGCTGGCCATGAGCGTCTCCAGGTGGTCACGTCCTAGGTAGTAGGGGGGCCTCTCATTGATCCTCTGGGGGAGTCGCTCGAGCAGGCCCACGGGCACATACCTGCGGGTCAGGGAGGGCAGGGGAGGCAATAAGGCTGGGTGAGGCCTGAGGCTACAACCCCGGCCCGGGCACTCTCCGCGTTCTGTGCCCACCTGCAAAGAAAGGAGAGCCACTCCAGAAGGAAGCGCCGGGTCCGCTCCACGCCCTGCGTGTCGGAGCCCCAGTGCTCCAGGCCATAGTGCGTGAAGTCCCTCAGGATGTCCAGGCGCTCAGACGACGAGATGTCCCAGTGTCTCTGTTCCTTGATCTCCGTGAAGAGCCAGGGCTTGAGCAGGGCGCCACTGTGGAGGGAGATGGTCAGGGGGACCCAGTGCCTCCCGCCAGCCAGTCACCTCGGCACCTGGGCCTCGCCCTCCCAGCAGCCACTGTCCCAGGCCAGCTGCTGCTCACCGGGCGATCATGACGCCCGCGACGCCCGTCTGCATGGCACAGTTGGCGTCCTCGAATGAGAGAATGTCCCCGTTTCCTGAGGAGACAGGGTGGTCTTGACAGTGGCAGGCCCCATGGTACTGGGGAGGACTTCCCAGGGACCTGGGCTCCCCCGTCTTCCCAGCTGAGAGACACAGCAGGACAGCGGCTCTGGGCACCTACCGAACAGGGGCATGGGGCTGGCCACCTCGGCGCACTGCTTGATGTAGGGCCAGTCGGCCAGCCTGGTGTAGCGCTGTTCCCGGGAGCGGCCGTGGAGCTGGGGGGGTGCAGTGATGAGGATGGAAGGTGGCGGGGTTGGGGGGAGACAGCAGGGAACCAGAGAGAGACAGAAAGCGAGGGACCAGGACACCCACCGTGACCAGTGCGACACCCCAGTCCCGCAGCTCGGGCAGCAGACGGTGTGCCAGGCTCACACGCTCCTGGACACCGGTGCGCATCTTCACCGTCACGGGCACGTCCAGCACCTGCGGGCACGAGGGCAGGGAGGGAGCAGAGAGCAGGCCTGGAGGCCGCACCTCAGAGCCCTGTCGGGGTGCGGAGGGGTATGTCCCTGAAGAGCCCAGGTTACCTCGTTCACGCCCCGCACAATCTGCTGGAACTTGGCTGAGCGATTCATGAGCGCGCAGCCACCACCCTGTGGGACACAGAGACCCTGGTGACCCCACAGGAAATGCAGACACTCCCTGTGGGCGCCCACAGATAGCTGGCTGTGTGGCCCGTGTCCAGGTGGGGACAGCGGGACAGGGTCCTAGGCTGGGCCACACCCTCCAGGCTCCAGAGCCGAGCGGCTGTCACCTTCTTGTAGACGAGGTCGATGGGGCAGCCCACGTTGATATCCACAAAGTCCACGTCGATGGTGCGGTTCAGGAGCTCAGCGCACTTGGTCATGGTGTCGGGGAAGGCGCCCTCCAGCTGCAGCAGGCAGGGTGTGCTCAGTGACCAGCCCGCTGGGGCATCTCACACCACATGGACACCAGGTCGGGGAGGCAGGGCCACAGACCCTGGGCACTGCTCCCCAACATGGCAGCCCCTTCCAACCTCCCTGAGGGCAAACACTGACTTGCACCCCAAAGATGTCCTCGCAGGGGTGGCGCTTGAGCAAGGCCCACTCAGACATCTGGCCCTGCAGCAGGTTGGTGCACACGGCCATCTCTCCGCACGTCACATCCGCACCGAAGCGCTTGCAGATGCGGCGAAAGGGGAGGTTCCCGCACTGCTCAGGACAAGGGCGTGTTCGGGACTCAGGTCACAGAGCAGGGACACTGCTCCAGGGAACCCCTGAGCCACCCACCCCGGCCACCTCCTACCGTGGTGAGCGGAGCAAGGTACAGCTTCCCACTGATATCCAGCTGGAGGGGAGGGAACATCAGATGAAGTCAGGCCTCCTTCCCCACGGTCTAACACACGCTCTCGTCCCCCACACCCAGCGGCCTCCTTCCCCACGGTCTAAAACACGCTCTCCACACACCCAGCGGCCTCCTTCCCCACGGTCTAACACACGCTCTCGTCCCCCACACCCAGCGGCCTCCTTCCCCACGGTCTAACACACACTCTCGTCCCCCACACCCAGCGGCCTCCTTCCCCACGGTCTAAAACACGCTCTCGTCCCCCACACCCAGCGGCCTCCTTCCCCACGGTCTAACACACGCTCTCCACACACCCAGCGGCCCACTGCTCGCTCTACATACACCACGTGCATTCCTCTTAGGGGAAAAGCTCATCAGTGCCCAGTCTCCTACACAGGAGAGCTTCTAGTCAACCTTTCAAAGCCCAGTCTCAATGCCCTCCCTTTCAGGAGCGCTCCACGTTGCCCCCTCACTCCCCAGCCCCGATCCTCCAGGACTCTTCAGGCTCCTTCTGCTGAGGCAAGGCTGTGGCCAGCACTGGAGCTCCGCCGCCATGCCTGCACGCTTACCTGCTTCTTCTCGCAGGGTCGCAGCCGAATGATGTCCTCGTCTGTCAAGGGGCCACAGGTGGACACAGGGCTGCCACGCGGGGTGCCGGCCCCTCCCGTAGTATCCAGCGGGGCATGGCAGCTATTCTGCTCTGGGGTAGCCGTGGCTACCGTGGTCTCAGGGATGCCCGCGGGCCTGGGGCTCTGGGTGAGGCGGCGCAGGGCCTGCTCGGCTCGCTCGAAGCACACCTGTCGCTTCCGCAGCTGCTGCTGCAGGGCCCTGTTCAGGCCGTTGCGCACTGGAGGGAGGTGCACGCAGCGAGCGACCACCTCCTCCTGCACCAGGTTCTGACCCCCGGGCCCCAGGTGTGCCCCGGCAAAGCGACAGGTCACGCCGTAAGGGCACCGGCCAAAGGTGTCGTAGAGCACGCAGCGGGGGCCCAGGTCCGCCGGTTTGCTCTCCAGGTAGCGCCCCACGTCATGCAGGAAGCGGCAGCGGTCACCAAATGCACATGTGGCTGACTCCTGGGGGGGACATGAGGGAGGGGCCCGGAGAGGGAGAGTAGCCAGGGTGGCTGCAAGGATTATTCTCCCAGTCACGTGTCCCCAAGTGTCCCCAGCTCTGAAACTGGCACCGTGTCAGGCTCACGTGAGACAGAACATCAGCTGAGGTCAGGAGCACTGGCTGCTCCTGACACCACCAGGTCTGACTCCCAGCACCCATGTTGAGGCTCACAACAGCCTGTGACTCCAGTTCCAGGGCATCCAATGCCCTCTTTAAAAAATACCTGAGTAAAAATAGGTCTTTCAGCTGGGCAATGGTGGCGCACGCCTTTAATCCCAGCACTCGGGAGGCAGAGCCAGGCGGATCTCTGTGAGTTCGAGGCCAGCCTGGTCTACAGAGTGAGATCCAGGAAAGGCAACAAAGCTACCCAGAGAAACCCTGTCTCGAAAAACAAAAAGAAAGTAGGTCTCTTTGGGCACAGCATCATGGTACAGATTCATCAGACCGGCATGGGCCATACAGAGAAACCATGTGTCAAAAGACACAAAAATGCCAGTGTGGCCTGCAGACACCAGCCCGGCAGCGGCAGCGAGCAGGCTGAGGGCAGGCGACCCTGAAGGCAGCACTATGCCCCAGGGAGAAGCCAAGGCACTGCTAGGCCAAGGGCCATGTGCATCTCACCGCAAAGCAGCCGCAGGCTTTGAGGTGCCAGGCCCAGGGAGCCTCGCCCAGCGCCGTTCTCACCTGGAGGAGGGACGGGCAGAGCCTCTCCTTATCATAGTGCGTTGGCTTCACATGGGGCCGGCTTTTGTTCTGGCCACGGGCTCTCTTGGGCGCCTGTTGTTGCTCAGGGGGCTCAGCCGTCGCCTCTGCCTTCCCATTCTCCTGCCCATCTTCCAGGCGAATCCGCTTGGCCTCGGGCTCAGTCAGGTCACTGCCCTCGGGGTCTCCTTCGGGCGTTTCCTGGCAGGCATCCTCCCGCTGGTCTGCGTCCAGGTACTGGTGGAACCGTTCCTTGGTAGTGCGGTACCTGCCAGAGAGGGAGAGGCTCGGGCTGGCACAGTGAAGGGGGCCTGGGGACCAGTGTTGGCACGCTTCTGCAGACAGGAGGCGCGCTGCTTAGAACCAGCCCTCACCTTGGGGCATCCCAGTGACTGGGGGACACCTACTTTGCATTTGAAGGACCTGTGTCTCTGCTCAGAGAATTGCACTGTTACAGGTTGTGATGCACAAATAACAACAATCACGTTAGACCACAGAGAGACTACAAGTCCCAGCATGCTTGGCGGGTAGACCCAAGCCGCCACGCTTCCCAAGAAGCCTTTCGGCCCGCTTACGGAGCTGCAGTCTGGAAGTGGCAATCCATTTGTGGGCCCGTGCCAGGGAAACTACAAGTCCCAGCATGCACCGCGGGCCTCGCGGCTGAGTCCCCACGCCGTGTCTAAAGCGTGTGGCAGCCGTCAACGTGTTCCTCTCCGCAGAGACAGCGGCGCCGCCGGGCCGCCCTTCTCCAGGACACCGCCACACCTCCCGGCATGCACCGCTCGCGCCGCGCCACGGACGCCGGGAAAGGCCCCGTCGGCTCCGCCGCCCGCGGCCAGGGACTCACTGAGCTTTAATGGGCGCCACCCCCGGCTCGCACGCGCCGGCCCCGGAGTCGCCGCCGCCGCCGCACTCGGCTGCCGCCTCTGCATCCTCCGCCATCGACGCCCCTCACGCCGGCTCAGTAGTGTGGCAGGAAAGTCTTCCGGGTCGCGTGTCACCCAGAGCTCGCCGAGCGGAGTGCGCATGCTCAGACCGCACCAGTGACGCTGAGGCGCGCGTGCGCACGGCGGTCCCGGGAGTGGGCGGGGCCTCCGGGCGGGCCGGCCGGCGCTGGAGCCGGAAGTGC